AACTAATGATTAGCTTTCGCTTTGTAATGCTACAGGAAAAAACATTCTCCCAGTTTTGGCAGATTACAGCAATTAAGTTTTAGGTCCCTTTCACATTCCTTGTCAGCGTAGTTCAGCAGAGTCAGCTACCACTATGCTTCCATCTATGATTCTGCACCATCTTATTCATTTTGGAATCAGGCTGTAGGAGCAGTTTCATTCTGGGTTACAGTGAACGAGTTACAGTTCTTAATGTTTCTGCTCCCGTGGCACACAAGCGCCTTCTGAACACAATTCATTCACTGATGAAAGAAAAAAGTCACATGGCCAAATCTGCTTTGGTAGACTGGGAAGTATGCTCCCCTCACAGGGAGGCCATGAAAATTTCATAGCATGAGCAAGGGTGCATAATCTTCTCAAGGAGAAGGCCACACACAAGGGAATAATGATACAATATACTACATGTGGCATTCTTCACTTGGATAGCTCAAATACACAATTTTTCTTTCCTTTTTGCTACCTTGTATTGTTATAAAAAGTAGAAAATAGCAGTAAATCTCCCCCCAAATTAAGAATATACAATTTGTAATAAAATCTGTATATTTTAGGAGAAATGTACGAGTGCAGCCATATCTCCAAATCACAGTTGGATGACCTCAGAGCCATCACGCATGAGCTGTTTGATGATGGTCCTCCAAGACATTCCAAATCTCTGCTTATGGTTGCCACTGTCCACAGTGGTGAGGGAGAAAACTCATTTGTGTGCTTGCCAATGAAGATGAGGTTTAGTGGAATAAGGCGTCTCCACCACAGATGCTTAGGAGTGATTCACAAAGGAAATACTTTGGTCTGTCTTCACTTGAGTGATTCAATACCAACCATTCCAATCAGATGGTTTTGAAGAATATTGTTCATAAAGGAACATAGAAAAAAATTATAACTATATTCTGGGCACCTAGCAGAGTACTTGGTACACTGTGGGTGGCAGACAAATTTTTGTCAAAATAAGTTGAGTTGTTCTTAATTCTGATTTAAAAAAACAAACAGACAAAGACTATGTAAGTTTTGTAACTGACATAGGTGAGTGTTTATGTTTGGTGAATGGATAAGAATGTAAATGGAGATTTTCAAAAGTCTTAATTAACTTACTTAAATTCGTTCTGATCATACTGGTAGATATTCTCCTTACATCAGAAAACATTTTAGAGAGTAGCAACAGTGTTCAAAGCTGTAATAATCATGAGGTAGAAATGTCATAACTTTGAAAATCTCTAAGTGCTTGCAACAAATATTGGCAAGAAATTTACAAGAGCTGTTTTTACTTTCATGATTATATACCCAAATATGATATAAAATGTGATTACCTTAGTATATATCATTTTATGCATAATAATTACATATTTAACCATTTATTTTAAAATGTTAAATCTACTCCTGTCTCATTTCCATTAAAAATAGTCATGTAAATCAAATTAGTTAGCTTTTTAACTTTTGCTAACATTTATTCACCGAGTGAGAAAATTTTGCATTGGCTAAATCATTTACTAAAACAATTTTACAAACTAATTTTCTTGTTTTTGGAAAGAACATATGGTAGACTTGTCAAAGGCATTTGAACCAGAGCAACTCCATCTTGAATAGGACCTGGGTAAAATGAGGTAGGAGATTGGCACAAGATACAGGTCATAAAAACCTTGCTGATAAAACAGGTTGCAGTAAAGAAGCCAGCTTAAACCCGCCAAAACCAAGGTGGCCATGAGAGTGACCTCTGGTCATCCTACCTCTACACTCCCACCATCACCATGACAGTTTAAAATGCCATGGCAATATCAGGAAGTTACCCTATATGGTCTAAAATGGGGAGGAATAAATAATCCACCCCTTGTTTAGCATATCATCAAGAAATAAAAATAAAAATGGGCAACCAGCAGTCCTTGGAGCTGCTCTATCTATGGAGTAGTCTTTCTTTTTTTAGCAGGGAGCGGGGATAGAGTCTCGCTCTGCTGGCCAGGCTAGAGTGCAGTGGCACAATCTCAGCTTACTGCAACCTCCAGCTCCCAGGTTCAAGCAATTCTCCTGCTTCAGTCTCCCAAGTAGCTGGGACTACAGGCTTGCACCATCACGCCCAGCTAATTTCTATATTTCTGGTAAAGACAGGGTTTCACCATGTTGGCTATGGTGGTCTCAAACTCCTGACCTCAGGTAAATCCACCTGCCTTGGCCTCCCAAAGTGCTAGGATTACAGGCGTGAGCCACTCCCAACCTTGGAGTACTCATTTTTTATTCCTTTACTTTCCTAATAAACTTGCTTTTGTTTTATGGACTTGCCCTGAATTCGTCCTTGCATGATATTCAAGAACCTTCTCTTGGGGTCTGGATCGAGACCTCTTCCTGGTAACAGACTTATTCTTGTTAGAGATCCCCATTATTACCACTTTTGACATCACTCTCTGTAACTTATGTAAAGCCTCTATTTTTCTTACTGGGAAACCTCACTCTCTAGACGTCACTTACTCTTCGTGTTTATATAAATTTTTTGACTTTTTGCTTCGTAACTGTCAGGGTCATTTTTTGACATAGAAAATTAGATTTTCCTTACTACAGCAATTCGGTGGCATTGGAAATGACAATGGACAGACAGGCAAAAATGAAGGACTCTGGCTTAGTTAAACTCACTTTTTAGCCAAGTAACTGATGATTACACATCTACCTTTCTCCTTAATTCACAGCTGCTTCACAGGACATGCCACTAAAATTTGCACCCCAGTGAAGTCATCAGGTTACTAAGTAATTACTAAGTTATATTCATTGCTCAATATGCAGATAGCGAAGGCCACACACTACCTGGGTATCCTAAAACATTTTTAATAATGTGAATAATGTGTCTGAAGAGACTCCAAACAAGGTTTCAACATGAATTTGCACACACACACAGACAGTTACAAGTTGGAAAGCCTCTAGCACAGTGTCTAGCATGCAGAATGCATTCAATTTCAGTAAGTATTGGTGATTCAAAAAATCACAATTCCTGTAACTTTCTTATATTCTATGTCTTTTATCCTACAATTCCTATAACTTTCTTATATTCCATGTCTTTTATTCTTACGTCATTATCAAGCTAAATGATAATATACAAAAGGTAGACAATTATTATAGATCTTGAAGATGTAATACATTAAAAGAAATAAAAAATGAAAACTTTGGATCACCTGCTTTACATTAAGTATAGCAATTTATGCAAATAATTTACCAGGTTTCTCACTATCCTGCAGCTTTATAAGTAATATGTATGCATTTAGAAATGCCAGTTTCACAGGTTTTCAGTAGTATTTGCTTATATTCTTCATACTTTGCCTGCCTATAAATTATGATATTTGCTTGTAATTTTAGACAATTAGAAAAGCCATTGTGTTGAAGTTTATTTTCTAAATTACTAGAAGAAAAAGAGGGGAAGAGAAGATGAAGGAGGAGGAGGAGGGGAGGAAGAGGAGGAAGAGGAGGAGAAGAAGACAATGACTACATTATGCTCAGTTCAGTTTGGGATCTAGATGCACTGAATTCTTTAAAATATTGGCAAGTTCTCAGGAATACGTAAGGCAATTCTTCATAAGCAGACGGTTCAAATATTTGGAAGCTCCCTAGACTTGGAACAAAATAACCCTCAGCATTTTTTTTTTTTTCCTTCTGTGTTCTTTCTTCTAGCCAGAGGCCAACTACTGGGTATCTTTGGAGATTAAACCCTTTTCTGATAAATTGTAGGCTGAAAACAGTGTGTATTTTCATTTCCAGATCGCTTGGCATCAGGGCTCCAATTGCACTGAATTGATCAGTGGTACATATCTAGGAGAGTCCTGAATGCATCCAGCCTGTCGTCACCAGTCCTCTGTGGGTTTGCTCTGACAGCTTCCATGTGGACTCCAGAGGAGGGCTGGACTGCCAAAGAATTGTAAATATGAGCCTAGGGTGGGGCCCGAGTCCTCCAGATGTGGCTGCTTTCGCATTTTCAGTGTGAATTCAAGGGAGCTACCCTCCTCTCTGACGGAGATAACAAGTGTCAAATCTCATAATCAGAAAAATGAGGTCATTAGAGCGGGAATGTCTACAAACAACTTTTCTTTTCACCTCCTCTGTGGTTACTAAGTACCATAAACCTGGGCTCCTCTTCTCTCTAGTCAATTTGGGCATTCTAAGGCCATGTTTGAGCATTTGTTAATGTTGTGAAGTCATGAATTTTGGCTCCCCCTTTTATGTATCTTTCTAGAGAACCAATGCAGTCTCTGACTGGACAAGGAAATTACTTGAGGAAGTAATGTATCAAATGAGTCAATGTGTGTCTCACCAGAACTTCCTCTTTCTGTTGGCTTTCCCTGCTCCAGCTTAGTGGTAGTAGGAAGTATTTCAAATTAAATTCCTGTGGTCACTTTCCCCATTTTCAGGCAATGGGTCATGTGTACTGGAATTAGCCAAGCATTTTGCTTCTCTGTCTGCATCATTTCAGTGTACTGTTTATAAGGCACATTTCTTACCCACATGGGAAAACAGAAAAAATGTAAAGGACTATTTGGCTACTTGCTGATTACCATGATGTTGAATTCAGTGGAGAGCTTGCTGGAATAAGGGAAATTGGTAGAATTATCCTTAGTTCTTTCTTTACCTGTAAATACCTTTATTTCCTCTAAAATATAATGTATAAAAACTCCAAATAAGCCCCATGTGGTGGCTCACACCTGTAAGCCTGAGAAGGGTGGATCACCTGAGGTCAGAGTTTGAGACCAGCCTGGCCAACATGGCGAAACCCCGTCTCTACTAAACATACAAAAAATTAGCTGGATGTAGTAGCAGGCACCTATAATCCCAGCTACTTGGGAGGCTGAGGCGGGAGAATCGCCTGATCCGGGAGGCGGAGGTAGTAGTGAGCCGAGGTTGCGCCATTGCCCTCCAGCCTGGGCAATAAGAGGGAAACTGTCTCAAAGAAACAACAACAGGTTTTTGTTCCTGGTGTTCAGTCGTCGTGATTGGTGGTCAGTAACCGAGCCAAGATGTTGCGGAATCTGCTGGCTCTTCGTCAGTTTGGGCAGAGGACCGTAAGCACTACTTCCCACAGGCATTTTAAAAATACAGGTCCAGAGAAACAAAGGCTGTTCCAGGAGGATGATGGGATTCCAGTGTATCCAAAGGGTAGGGTAGCTGATGCGCCCCTGTATCGAGCCACCATGACTCTTACAGTTCGTGGAACAGCATATGCCATATATCAGCTGGCTATGGCTTCATTTCCCAAGAAGCAGGATTGACTTCAGTCATCCCAGCAATTACTTGGTTCAGTTTCATCCCGCTCCCTATGGACCAGTAATCTGATGAATAACTGAGCTCTTCTTTGGGGATCAATATTTATTGACCTGTACTAACTGCTGCCAATAATGCAGTCTTTACCATGAAAAAAAAAAAGAAGAAACACAACAACAAAACAAAACAAAACCACCTTCAAATAAAACATGTAACTTCAATTAGTAGAAGCAGTAAACTGATGTCTTTACTTTGTTTAGTGTGAAATGTTTTAAATATTTTGAAGTATTTTGGGGTGTTCAGTCTTTGAATCCAAAGGAAGAAAATCTGCTTTCATTTTTGAAAAGCTTTTAATATGTACATCTCAATGGACATTTATTTTTGTCAAAGGCTCTGAGCTTATTTTAACTGTGTCTCCGTTGCTCAAAGTCAGTACTCCTCTTTTTGTATAGATCTGTATATTCCATATTTTCTCCTAACAAAACACACCTGAAGTATATACAGTTGACCCTTGAACAACATTGTTTTGAACTGTGTGGATCTACTTACGTGCAGATTTTTCTCAGCCTCTGCCTCTCCTGAGACAGCAAGACAAACCCTTCTTCAGCCTGCTTAATGGAAACATGACTAGGGTGAACACTTTTATGATCCACTTTCACTTAATTAATAGTAAGTATATGTTCCCTTCCTTATGATTTTTAAAAATAACGCTTTGTTTCTGTAGCTTACTTCATTGTAAGATTAGAGGATATAATACATGGAACATGCAAAATGGATGTTCATTGACTGTTTTTGTTATCGATTGGGCTTCTAGTCAAAAGTAGACTGTTTTTAGTTAAGTTTTGGAAAATCAAAGTTATACGTGAATGTGTGGGGACATAGGGGGTGTCAATGTCCCTAACCCCTGTTTGTTCAAGGGTTCACTGTAATCAATTACTTCCCACCACCCTCAGCCTATGGCTGATTATGGCAGTGAGTCTGAAATGCAGGTGACAGCAAGTCAGACACTCCTTAGAAGGGGTATCAGAATGTTGTGAGACACAAAAACGTCTATGTTGGAGTTAGGGAAAGATGTTTATTTTTATATTTTATATAATCTGTAATGTTATAGATAAGAAATATTCCTTTTTGAGGACACAATTATGAAAATTATAGAACATCTATACAATTCTATAAATTATGAGTTCTACTTTTTACTATTAAAATGATGCCTATAAATACTTGTAATAACATGGAACAGAGGTTAATAATATAAAGTTCAACAAAGCAGGATTAAAAAATAGGTATAACATAGGATATTTTCATATTTTTAGCGTGATGTCATCTGAATAAACACAAAAGAATGGGAACAAAACTGGAAAGAAATGTGCCAAAAAAGATAACAGTAACTCCCTGCATTCACTAGGATTATAGGTAGGTTTCTGTTTCTTAATGCTTTTATTTGTCTGGTTATTTGCCATAAGCTGATATTATTTTGCTAGTGGAATGATGTTTAAAATGAGATAAAGGAAACAAGAGTGCTTGAGGCGAAAGTAGAGCTCTTACGTTATGTCTCCTGAGTTGATTCCCTCTTGGATATTAGGGAATTCTCTCCTCACTTAGAGTAAACAGAGCCATTCACAAATAACAGGCACCCTTGCATCCCTATAGCTTTTTGAATTGTTTCCATCATTCCCTGATATTAAGCCTTTTTTGCAAGGAGTCTCCCTGTGTCAAGTAGACACAGCTCTCATTTTGGTTCAGTTTACTTTCATTCCTATATGCGAGAAGAGCTCTCTTGCTGGAAGGAGGTTTTCAGACACCTATGGGTGTCCTTCATGTTCTCACAGTCTCATCTTGAGCTGCTCCTTAGGCATTGCCTATTCATTGCATGGAGCAGAATACTTAAAGATCGCTTTGTCTGCCTGTTCCTGTTGGTTGGCAGATGCCTCTGAAACGGACAGAAAAGCCCATCCACTCTTGGACCGTAAGCTAGCCATTCATGTATTGAAGTCACTGGAGGCGGATGTAATGATAGCAACCATTCATGTTGGCAGACAAGAGAACTCTGTATGTAAGACAGAAGACTGGGGTGATTTTAACTAGCCATTCCTCACATGGAAACAATGTTGTAAGGCTCTGACTGGCTGGATTTTGATGCATTTTGAAGGGTGTCTGAGGTGGTCTTAGGTAGTACAATACTTCCAGAGGGTGAGTCTCCTTCCTTCAGTCTGATAAGTAAAAATAGGTGGAATATTATGAAAATAAATCATAATAAAAGTTTATCAATTTGCTAAAAAATCATTAGGGTACTTTTTAAAGCCCTGTGGTCAATATCCCTGAAAACCTTTTTTCTATACAAAACTAAAACCACCAATAAAGAAAAGGCTACTGGCGAAATTGTGAGTAATGGGCACTGTTTTGTGCCTCAGGATGAAAGGAATACAATGAAGTGATTAAAAACATGCTGACTTTAGAAATTTGGGGCTTAATTAATGAGTTAATGATGGGAATAGAGCTCCTTTACTTCAGTATTCAAAATCCCAATAATAAATAGTTGTGTTTTTGGAAGTTCATCCACAAAGATTCTTGGGTGAGTAGGGGGTTGTTATTAATGGCTGAGTTATAATAACACTTGGGATCTGTAGACTATCCAAAATGGTAACAGGAACCCAGGATCTCATCAACACTTTCACGAGAGAGATTGTATTGTAGGCTGATACTTCTTTTCTGAAGGAATTTTTCAGTCCTGTTTAACCTATCTGTTACCTACAAAGTACAAAAGAGATTTGAATCTTATTAGACAATGCATTCAATATGTAAGCCAAAGATTAATTTCTCAAGCAATACTTCTGTGATAAATTCTTTCCTCAGAACTTGGAAAATTTTGACTTAAATTGCCCAGATATTTTCTAATCTCCATTTTTATGCAATTGCTGAATGGAGTTATAATACAGTTTCCTGAGATTATGCTGATACATTAAACTTCACAAATCTTCGTTTTATTTTCTTTTTCTTAAAGTTGATTTTGTTGTCTTGTCTTAGTGAAGGTGATTGTACGGCAGGCAGATAATCAGATGATTTTTAAACACTGTTGGCTGGGTGCAGTGGCGCATGCCTGTAATCCCAGCACTTTGAGAGGCGTACCCCAGGTGGATCACGGGAAGTCAGGAGTTCAAGATCAGCCTGGCCAACATGGTGAAACCCCAACCTCTACTAAAAATACAAAAATTAGCTGTGCATAGTGGCATGTGCCTATAATCCCAACTACTCAGGAGGCTGAGGCAGGAGAATCACTTGAACCTGGGAGGTGGCTGTTGCAGTGAGCCAAGATTGTGCTATTGCACTCCAGCCTGGGCAACAGAGTGGGACTGCAGAAAGGAAGAGAGAAAGAGAGAGAGGAAGGAAGAAAAGAGGGAGGGAGGGAGGGAGGGAAGGAAGGAAAAGGAAAGGAAGGAGAGAAGGAAGGAAGGAGAGAAGAGAAGAGGAGAAGAGAAAAGAGAAGAGAAGAGAAGAGAAGAGAAGAGAAGAATAAAAAAAAAAAGAAAAGAAAAGGGTGGGGTCCCTGGCAAGGGTTCCACCTTTCATGCCTGGGCCCATGACCCTAAATGAGAACTTTAAATCCCTGTTTTCCCATCCTAATATTGCATTTTGGACCACCATACCCCCTACTCTGTGCCCACAGAAACCCCAAACTCCACTGGCAGAGCAGCAGAGTGGTGTGGCAGAGGAGGAGGGAAGAGAAGCATCTGAACATCAAGAGAGGGAGAGGCAGCTGGACATTGGAGGCTAGGCTCAGAGAGGAGTTTGGCCAGGGACAGCCTGAAATCTAGGGAAAGATTTTCTTCCCACTTCATGGCCTTTCCTACTTGCCATCCCACTGAGAGCCATTCCACTGCCCAATAAAATCTCTGTATTCACCATCCTTCAAGCCCATGTGACCAGATGCTTACTGGTTGCTAGACAAGAACCTGGGTACCAAGAGAGTAGGGTGTAAAAGGCTGTCAACCCTGACCCTCCACTGAGCTGGTTTTAACACCTGGCCATCTGCAGAAGGCAAATGCTAAAAGAGCATTGTTTGTAACACACGCTCTCTGGGGCGCCAGAGATCATGGGCAGCCCCTAGACATTGCCAGGGCAGGGGTAGGGGTTTCTGCCAACAGTTAGTTCCCAAAGGCATTTGCCCCAGCTCCTAGCACCCACTCACCTGTGTGCTCCCACTCCTGCATGGGGATTGAGCCCAGTAAAAGAGCCACCCTGTTGCAAGTCCTGCAAGATGGTTAAGGGAATTCTCCCGTCTCAGATCCAGGGGCTTAAATTCCGTTGGGGAAACTTAGACTTGGTCTGTCTTCTGCTGTATGGATGAAAAGAGTGAAACTGTAAAACATCTGAAGAGATTTATTCTGAGCCAAATATGAGTGACCATGGTCTGTGACACAGCCCTCAGGAGGTCCTCAGAACATGTGCCCAAGGTGGTCAGGATACAGCAACTTGGTTTTAATACATTTTAGGTAGACATGAGACTTCAATAAAATACATTTAAGAAATACATTGGTTTGTTTCATAAAGGCAGGACAATTCAAAGCAAGACGGCAGGGGCAACTTTCAGGTTATGGGTCGATTTAAAATTAACGTTTTCTGGTTGACAATTGATTGAGTTTATCTAAAGGCCTGGAATAGAAAGAAAATGTCTGGATTGTGATAAGAGATTGCAGTGACCAAAGTTTATGCTCCTGAAGGCTCCAGGTAGCAGGCTTCAGAGAGAATAGATTATAAATACTTCTTATCAGACTTGAAGGCTTATGTTGATGTTCAGGCTAGAGAGGTATAAGGAGGCATATTCAACTCCCACTTCCTGACATGGCTGAATCAGTTTCTCAGGTTACATTTTAAAAGTGCCCTGACCTAGAAAAAAGTCCATTCAGATGGTGGAGGGAGCTTTAGAATTTTATTTTTGTTTGCATATGATTACCTTATGGAATAGAACCTAGCTCCCTTTTCCACTATGCTAATGTCCTAGCTCATATGAAGTCCAGCAGATGGAGAGCTTCTTTATTCTCTATACTTTCAAAACTATTCAGAGAATTAAAATTTATTGGCTCTAATTCGCCGAATCTAAGTTGAATGCTCACACCTTGAGTTCAGAAACGGGTCAGCTTTATCCTAATCCTATAGACTAAGAGTAGGGACTACATTTT